AAAGCCGGCCCTTCCTCGCCACCTTACAAAGCCGCCACCTCCACGGAGCCACACTAGCGAAGCGCTCTCTGGCCCCAGCTCCACCCAAAACCACGGGAGCGCGCCGGCTAAATCCTGTCTGGTGGACCGGTCTTTAGTAGGGCGTTTCCTTCGTGTAGCCGTCCGTCCGTGGCTTTCCAAATAGGATGCATCAGTGGCGCCTGATGATAAAAATCGGGGTGAACGTGACAGCCGAGATGGAGAGCCACTTACGTATGAGAGACCGGGGCGTTGTCGGCTCCCAGCGAACACCCTGCTCTTCAGCCTTCCCTGTCCTCTACCTGGTCTCCCAGGGGCACCTGTCTCGCTGCGCTGAGGACCCTGCTCACGTGGCTTTGCCCTCTCGGGAGTGCGGCAGGGCTCCTGTCTGCTCTGACCTGGCAGCGGCTGCCAGAGATGCAGACAGGCCCTCTCTAGGGAAATAGTTCCCCGAGAATAATTAATCTTTTCCAAAAGACTGGGTATGTTCTTTCCTATTCGATGAGTTAATGTTTTAAAAAGGAAGTACATTCATGTAGTTCAAAATTTAAGATAACAGAAGCCTGTTCCGCCAGATTCCCACCGTGTTCCCACAGACCACCAAGTTACCCCCCGACCCCGTGGCAACAAGTGTTTCCAGTTGAAAGGATTAAGAAATAAAGTCCCTGGATTTTTATTACCAAACTGACGGTGTGCTCTTCCTCAGAGAGTTATGTTCCTTTTGACCTCGGTGACTGGCCTCGGCCCTCTGCAGCCATGCCACCCTCTGGATGGAGGAGGGCCTCCCAGACCACCCCGCGTCAAGGAGCCCCCCTACTTGAGCATACCTATCCCAGCTCTGCTTCTCCTGTTTTCAGGGCACTCGACCTGATGTACGTTTGGATCGAAGTTACTGTCTGTCCCCGCTAGGATGAGTGTCCCCACGGGCGGGCGTTGTCTCGCTCCACGCGGTGGGGACAGCGCCTGGTGCTTGCTCTCAATAAAGAAGTGTTGAATGAGCGGCCGGTGGAGGCTTTCCCGGGCCCCGCGCTCTGCCCTCTGGGAAGGAGAACCAGGGCAATGGTATTGGGAGCAGCAGGAGGGGAGGGACCCGGTGATGGCCTGTGGAGGTCGAGGGAGAGGAGAAAGGCGAAGCTGATGACCGTGGAACCCAAGTGAGGGACCCAGGACCAGTGAGGGGGTTCCTCGAGAGGAGGAAGTGGTTTGGGAGGAAGAGGGGCCCAGAGTGTGGATGAGGACGGGTCAGATGGGGAGAGTGGGAGGGGAGCGGGGGCGGGGGGCTGAGGTCCGCCAGCCAGCCGGGAGCCTGGGCGTGGGCAGGAGAGGAGCCGGCTCGAAGCCGTGGGGGGAGCCCCGGAGCCCAGAAGTGGCAGGAGGGGTGAGGATACAGCCTGCAGGCGAGGGAAGGGAGGGGAGACAGCAGGGCAACCTCAGGTCAGGGAGGGGCCTGCGGTGGGAGAGGCCAAGGGGCTGGGAACTGAAGACGTGGCCTCTGAGCTCACAGTTGTCCTCCAGTGAGGCAGCACCACCAGAGAACTCGGCGGTTCTAGCCAAGTGGAGCTTTTGAACTGCAAGGTGGTCACGTAAGAATGTGAGACGTGTAGAGCCCTCGGAAGGTCCCTGTCCTCTGCCATCGAAAGAGGGACCAGGAACTCCTTCCTGCCTTGGGGACTTGGGAGG